GTCGCTGTTCTTTCTGCTCAGCTGGGAGCGAGCCTCCGAGGTGTCTGCCTGTCCGTTCGCCTGTCTTTCTGCCTGCCCGTCCGCTGATCAGTCCACATGTCCGTCCGCCTATTCCTCCGCCTGTCTGTTTGCCTATCTGTCCGCCTGTCTGTCCGCCTGTCCGCTCGCCTGTTCGCCGCCTATCTGTCCCCATGTTCGCCTGTCCGCGTGTCCCTTCCGCTTGCCCGTCCGCTTATCTGTCCGCCTGTCCGTCCTCATATTTATCCGCTTGTCCGTCCGCCTATCTGTCCGCCTGTCCGTCCGCCTGCGCTGTCTGCCGCCCCCGTCCCGCGCGTCGGACAGTGCGCCCGCCCCGTGTCCCGCACTCCAGCCCCGCTCGCGGCCCCAGAGCCGGGCAGGCAGCCACGTGGTGCATGCCCAGGCAGTTTTCCGGTTCGCTGTAGGCTTCTGACGTGGTACAGGTCTCCGTCGGGTGGATGTTCAGGGCTGTCGAGCATCTGGTCGTGTCAAGAAATTCCGCCGCGGTTTGCGCCGCTCAGTGGGTGGTGGGATGCCGGGGACCTTGTCATCGGGCTGGCAGAGTGTTTGCCTTCGCGTCTCAGGACCGTTCCATTATTCAGACCCTCGAATGAACTCAACGGACAGCTGCCACTGTGAGGGCCAGCCGGGCACGGGCGACGGTGTTGCGACAGTGCATGGTGCGAAAATTCTTTGGCTGTATTTGGCAACATACAGAGGCCGCCTTGCACAGTTACTGCAGCGGAGCAGTCTCAGTTCAGAGTGATCCGGCCGCTCCAGCATACTGGGGCATCCTGGTTCCGTTGTAAGCAACTCTGAAGCACTCTGTTCGAGTGGAAGTATTCAATGTATGGCTGCTTCTTCACCCGCCGCTTGCAAGGTCGGGTGTGGTGTGTTGTGTTGGGTCGATACGCTAACGTCTGCAACCATATGTCAAGTGATAGCTGGTTAGTGTCCACTTGGGAATGGCCTGCCAACCGAGCATGGTATGCCCACTTTGCGATTACCACTCATCCTCAGTGCTAGTTTGTGGCCTGGCAACTATTTTTCGAGGTCATTAGGTGGTTTGTTGATTGCCATCTGCCTGTGTTGAGGCTGCAATGCACGCGCCAGGAACGGGGCGTTTGCATGGGCGCTACAGTTCCAATGCAGGTACGCGGAGATCGCCTTGTGGTAATGGGTGGCGCAGGCCTGCCTGCAACGGTTCGGAAACGTCGATTCCTCAAACGCTGTGTGTGCTGGATTAGCCTACCGGGGTCCGTCCCGGGACGGCAGTTGTCAGTCTCGTCTTTCAGACATGCGCTATCCTGAAGGCATTAGCGTACCGCCGGCCTTGCACGCCCCCTGAATCCGGATTCCGGATGTGTGAGCTCAGAATTAGCCTCTGATTTGGGAGGCGCTGATAACCCTTAAGACTTGTGGGAAATGGACTGGGCTTTTTTTTGGCTTAACAGTAATATGTTTGCTGATTCCGGGCAGAATGAATCACCAAAGTCATCGGTGTCGTGCCCTGTAAAATGTATTTTCACGTACAACACGGCGATGCGATGACGCACTGGCTACGGCAGCACTGAATTGAAGAAATTCTGCAATAAAATGAATACATTTTCCGAATTTCTTGTTTTATTCACGATGGTAAAACATGTGTTTGTATGTTTGGTCCGCTGAGTGGTGTTACTACACAGGGTGTGTTTTTCTGAGCTTCAAAATACAATATAAACCGAAATGTAGAGAATTTCTAACCCCAGCCAATGAATTAATGCTTTTCGGAATGCAGAAAAAAACGCTCGGAAACTGTTCTTCATAGGTTGCGACCTATGGACCAGGGGTCGCGAAAAGGCAACGGCTGTTAACTAACACCATAGAGTTATACTTTCTCCTAAAAGATTAAAGTCCTAGTTTTACATCGAGTACGCGAGACGGCTGTAATTCCACCTAAAAGCATGGAAAGGATGTTCTAAACGCTAGTAAACGTTTTTGGCGGTGGGAAAACGTGAAAGCTACGTTTCTCGTTCAAGGCATTATGTGTTTGACCACCAAGGTATTGGTACAGGCTGGGCGTGATTTTTAGTCCGGGTGTGCAAACCGCAATGGAAAATTACTCAGTATGGCTGACGAAGTAGCTATCAGCGACGCCACATGTGAAGATCTTAGTTCATGCCAGGCCTTGTAGGCTGAAGTGATGCGGATGTAAGTTATGATCTGTTTTATTTCGGATATACCGGTACCGTGAAGTCCTTTGGTTTGAGATAAGAAGACACGTAGTATGTACGTTGCTGTCCGCGGCTGGATGCACATGGTCACGTTTCATTTCTCGCGTATTGTATAGTTGTCTGTCTCATAGCAGCCATGCTGAATTATTAGTAACGGGATTATAATGGGCGATCATTAATCCAGGCGCCTTAAAAGCGCAGTGGTGTAACTGCAGCGGAATACCGCCTTTGCTGCTAACAATGGCGTGGATCTCTGCTACCCGTGTGCTTAGCCACGTAACCTTGCAAAGAACGTTGTGGGGAAGGCAAGCCAGACCGTGCCGCCCGGTTGGGAGCTCCTCGGTAATGGGACGGACACGCTTACTGCAGCCCGCGGCCTACTGGCGCTGCCACTGGCGGCGGCCCGATAACGACGCGCACCTGGGTACGCTGGAGTCCACACTCGGGCGGGGTGGGGACGTGTGTAACCCACCGACTGTGGGAAAACGCCGACAAACTGTGGAGAAGCCGACACAATGAAGCGCTAGGGGTTATGTAACAATGCAGTTGGCAGTTGATCGATTTGATGTAGGCACACTGAGTGCTAATGTTAAGCTCTTTGCGTACACGTATTGAACTCCACCTCTTCGTTTTATTCAAGGATTTCCCGCCCGTCCCGCGTTATTTTCGACATGCCCGCCCTGAGAGTTGAGTCGCCGACTCGTCGCCACTCGCTTAAGAGGGGACAGGATTGAAAGCTGTGATCGTACATTCAGGCGTGCGGAATGCTTAGTTCCTGTATCAGACGGCGCCGGGGTACAAAAGCTAAATGCGGTCTGCTCGTGTCCACCGGATCGCCCGTGCGCTCGGCGCTCGGCCGGCCGCCGGCAGACGCGGGGCCGGCCAGGCAGGCCAGAGCGGCGGCTCCGACCGACGAGAACCGGCCGTGCGATTACTGCCGGCCGTGGGCGTGCAGTACGGGCCGACGCGTGCACACGTGCGTGCTGTGAGGCGATGAGCGGGCGGCCCTCGATCGACGGCCGCGGCCATCTCGCGTCCCTGGCGAGCGCCATCGTGCACGTACTGCGCCTGCCGGGTCGTGACAGCTCCGCACCGATCATTGTTAATCACGGCGACGGCCAGTTCTTATCAGCGCTCGTTAATCGGGCCTTTGGCAGGGCGCCGTCGATGGTGTGCGTTGCCGTCTGATGTTGTCGGGAGATTTGGAGGCGTTATCGTAGGTTTTACTCTTGGCTCCACTCGCATTTGGCTCGTTTGTCCATCGCTCACTTGCACGAGATCGCAGCCCTTTCATGCGATCTACACAGCGTTTGCAAAGACCTACGGTTTCAACGTCACCCCATTTGAAGCATGATCCTGCTGCAGCACTTTTCCCTCCCCGCAACATCTCAAGCGCAGAGACCATTCATTTTCGTTCATTTCGAATGCCCGTTACCAGTGTCGGGTGAGCGGGCCTCGACTGGCGCGGCCGGTGGGGCCACTCGGCCGGCGCCGGCCGCGGCTCCAGCTCTGACACGGCGGCTGTCGCGGCGCCGCCGTGTTGGACGGAGGCGACATGGACGGAGACAGATGTGTGGCCGGCCCGGGCCGTCTGCACCTGGCCCGGACACGGCCGTGCGTCTTCGGCGCGACGGCGGCGTGTCTCGGCGGCTGGTCGTGCAGACGGCGCCGACGCCGCCGCCGTTTTCGGCGTCACACGACACGACCGGCGGGCGCCGGGCAGCACGGTAGCCGAGAGGTGTCCCCGGCCGTGTCGCCGGCCGTGTCGCGCGAGACGCGTCAGGGTGCTGGAGTCCCGGGTGCGGGAAAATCATATGTGATTACTGGCATTGCGCGTTATTCCCGCGGGTTACCAGCTTCGAGGGTAGATATATTCTGACTTTGGATGCGTTTATTTTAGCTGTGTTGTTTTTTAGTTTAGCTGTGTTGTTCAGTTGTAACGAAACCTCTAGCGAGACCAGCCGGCGTTCGTTGAAACATGACGAGGGCAGTGTTGGTTTCAAGGGTGTGTGAGACAGGATGGGCGCCGGCTGCACCTCTGGCGGCCGGCTTATGTCCAGGCCGTTTGCAGGGTGGGCTCCACGCACCGTTTTCTGTGTCAGGGCCGGCGACGAGCCCTGACGACCCCCGCCGGCCGCACCGGGAAAGGGGGACGGGGGAGGGACATGCACCGCTGCCGGGACCCCATCCGGCGGTGGCCGATACCATCCGGCTCCGTCTCCAGGCCGCGACGGCACGGGACTGTCTAACTGTCGTCTGCGGCTGGATGGTCGTCCCAGTTGTCTGTCAGCGTCTGGCGCTCCCTGTCTCGCTGTAGTCTCCGTCTGTCGGTGTCTGCGGAGGCTAGACGGAAGTGGATGGCGCGTGTCCGTCCCTGCCTGATACAGCTTGTCTGCCCCTGTCTGACGTAACGTGTCTGCCCCTGTCTGACGCAGCGTGGCCGTCCCTGCCTGACGCCGTGTGTCCGTCCCTGCCTAACGCCGCGTGTCCGTCCCTGCCTAACGCCGCGTGTCTGCCCCTGCCTGACGTCGCGTGTCTGCCCCTGTCTGACGCAGCGTGTCCGTCCCTGCCTGACGCAGCGTGTCCGTCCCTGTCTGACGCAGCGTGTCCGTCCCTGCCTGACGCAGCGTGTCCGTCCCCGCCTGACGCCGCGTGTCTGCCCCTGTCTGACGCAGGGTGTCCGTCCCTGCCTGACGCCGCGTGTCCGTCCCTGCCTGACGCCGCGTGTCTGGCCCCACCTGACGCTGTGTGTCCGCCCGTGCCCGACAGGCGTACGAGCTGTCGACGCTGACCGGCACGCAAGTGATGCTGCTGGTGGCCTCGGAGACGGGCCACGTGTACACGTTCGCCACGCGCAAGCTGCAGCCCATGATCACGTCGGAGGCGGGCAAGGCGCTGATCCAGACGTGCCTCAACTCGCCCGATCCGTCGTCGTCGGCCGCCGCCGGCGACCAGCGCATGTCGGCCACCGGCTTCGAGGAGACGGAGCTCTGCTACAACATCAACGAAGACGAGCAGAAAGTAAGGCAGATGATGTACGGCGTGGGCGCGGGCGCGGCTGGCGCGCACCACCAGTACCACCAGCCGTACCCGGCCGCCATGTCCCCGCACCATCACGGCCACGGCGGCTGGCACGTGCCGCCGCCGCCCACTCCGCACCCCGTGTCGCAGCACCTGGCGCACGTGTCGCAGCAGTCGCCGTCGCACGTGCAGCTGGGCCACGCGCCGCTGCCGCCGCACAGTCCCATGCCGCCGCACAGTCCCATGCCGCCGCACAGCCCCATGCCGCCGCACAGTCCGCTCCTGTCGCCGACGCCGGGCCAGATGCTGTCGGGCATGAGCGGCCACGGCAGCCTCCCCAGCGTGTGCCGGTAGTCTGGCGTGGTGACGCCGCGTCCGTCCGTCCGTCCATCCGCCTGCCGCTGCCGCTGCCGCTGCTGTTGCTGCCGTTGCTGCTGCTGCCGCTGCTGTTGTTACCGTCCTGCATGCTCCGCAGCCAGCGGCCGCTGTGCCGGCGGCTGCACGCGTGTGCAGCCTGCGTTTGTGTGTGCCGTGTTGTGGTGTGGCGTACTAGGAGCCGCGCCTCTCTGGCGTCACCGCCGACCGAGCGAGCGGCCGCGGGCGGACAGACGGACTGACGCGGCCGGCGGCCCGCCCGGCCGGGCGCCGCGGCGTCGGCCGCCGCCGCCACCGCCGCTGCTGCTACCGTCGCCGCCAACGCTCTACAGGCGGTAGCTACGCGGGAGCGCGTTAGGCAGTTTTATTTGTTTGGGGACGGCTCGTTCCCCGCTTTCGTCGCTCCTTGTTTTGATCACATCTACCTTCTGTAAGGCATTAACCACTCGTGTGGGTCTACACAATGCGGGTCAGCCAGCGCGGACGCTGCCACTCAGTCGAGGTCGCCGAGCAACCGGAGTGACGGGACTGCCCAGTGAGGGAGACACGTAGCTGTTGTAACGAACTTAGTGCTTGTAGGTGAGCGGAGAGCCCTGTAGACCGTTCGCGGGGTCGCGGACCACTAGCGGTGTGTGAGGCGGCCTGTCTCCCCGCCCCCGGCGCGTCGCTCGTGCCGCCTGTGGGGCCGGCCGTCGCCCGCCGCTCGCCCAGGGGAGCCCCGCGCAGCTGTGGTCAGACCCCGTCACCGCGTGGCTCTGGGGCGGCGGCGCGGCGCTGGAGGCAGGGGTCTGGTCTGTGGGCGTGGTAAGCTCAGCCTCCCCCCCCCCCCCCGCCGGCTCGACTCGGACTCTGAACTGACGGGTGGTTGGGAGAGGGCCAGTGGGGGTTTTCTGTTGTATGGGACCTGAGCCATCATCTAGTCCGTGTCCGTGTGTCGGCCGGATGCGGCCGCTACGGGCTGCCGTGGGCGGCACCGGCCGGCGCAGGCCGCCCTGGTCGGCGGGGGCCCGCGCGCGGCCGCGGCCCGCCCCCTCGGCACTCGTCGCCGCCCGGTCACCGCCGGCCCGGCCGCCCACGGGCCGCCGATACTAATTGGTCGTGTAATCAGTGATGGATGGCTGGCGTGGGTCGGGCCGGGCGCGCGCCGACCCGGCTCGGGCACAGGGTCACCGTCCCGGCCAGCTGGGGGGCGTACGCCCACGGCTGGCTCGACCCTGGCTGACACCGTGCGGGGTGTGACGGGAGCGTGTCGTGGCTGGCCTCGTCGTCGCATCGCGGCGGTCCGCCGCCGCCGCCGCCGGCCGGGCTCCGCTCTTCGGCAGTGCGGCGCTGCTGACTGCCAGCCGACGTCTCCCTGCCGGCCCGGCCGCCTGTGGCGTTAGCTGACTCCGCAGCCTGGCCGCCAGCTGGGCGCTACTCCCGCCGGTGTCGCCTGTCCGTCGGCTCCGTGTCGGCCGTGCCTCTCGACCCGGTCCGCCTGTCTGTCCGCTGCCGGGATGTCCAGCTGACGCCGCCGCCACCGTGTCCGTCCTCGCGCCGCCGCCGCCGCCGTGTCCAGCCGCCGCCGCCGCGTCGACCTGTCATGGCGGGACGCGCGCTCGCCGCTCGTCGCGCCGACGCGGTCCGTGATCGATGACGGAAGGCGCCCGCCGATTCTGCACTCATCCATTACGCGCCGCTTAATTTCCAGGGCGTGCCCGGCCGGCCGGCTCGTCCTCGACGCACCGGCAAATTACATTGTAATGAAGTGGGATGGTGCGCCGCGCCGCCGCCGCCGTCGCCGCGTCGGCCGTGTCTTCGTCCCGAGCAGAAAACAGGCCAGACTGAACTCACGGGCCGGCTGGGTGGCGTTGTACCAGGGCCAGACTGGACTCATGGGCCGGCTGGGCGACGTTGTACCAGGGTCTGATATTCTCCACGAACTTCTGGCTTATGTGTGGCCGGTCTGAAGTGGGGCTCCGTGCCTCTCTCTCGTCGCCGCTGTTGTCCCCGGCCCCGGTCCCGCACCATCCATGGCCGTCAGCTGCTCCTGGCCGGCCGCTTACCGTCCCCTGACCTCGACCTCCGCTCTTCTGCGTCCGCGTCCCGAGCGGCCGTGCCTCACCTCCCCTCGCCCCGCTGCATCGGGGCAATCCATCTCGATCGTTGGCCGGCCATCCCCCTGCCTCCGCCGATACGCCGCCCTCCGAGCCAGCCGCCCGTTTCCAGGGGCGCCGCCACCGTCACCGCCGCGGTGGCGGCCGCGGCCGATGTTACCGATTAATAGGCGCCAAAGTGTCACGCCGCCTATCGGCCCATCTGGTTATTGTCGTCGACCGCGCCGGCCGGGACCATTATTTAAATGCGACTGCGACCGCCGCCGCATTGTGTGAAGCCGGATGATTTACATACAAACTGAATGTGAGCCGTGTGACAGCGGCCGTTTCCGCGGGGCGTCGCTATCGTCGCCACATATCAGTTATCGGCGCCGATATCGCCGCGGCCGGCCTGCGTGCGCGCGCTGACCGGGGCCGACCCGGCCCGCCTGCCCCGGGGCGCTGATGACGGGGCACGGCCGGCCGCCGGCCGCCGGTTTGGCGCGCGCCGCGTCGGCCGGTGCTGGTTTCGCGGCGGTGCGCGGCGCGCGCGGCCCGCTGCGCCGCGCCGGCGCGCGCAGGTGTGCGCCGATCTGGCCGCCGATAGCCGGGCGGTGTTTATGCGTGAGCGCCGCGGCCGGCCGCCGCTGCCCGCCGCTCGCCGCCCGTCGCCTGCTGCACGGTTATTTATGAACGCGGCGATGACTGGCGGCCGGCGCGCGCGGCGGCTTTTATTTCGGCGCGCCGACAATCGGCGGCGCGCGACGGACGGCCGCCGGCCCCCAGCCGCGCCGCCGCCGCCGTCTTCACCGCTGAGAGCCCCTGCGCCGCCGCCCCGCTGCCGATGCCGGCCGTCGGCCGCGCTGGTGCCGTGGAGACCGCCCTGGTGCTGGCTGGGCGGCGCTGTTGTCGGTCGGACCGCGTCGAGAGCGGGATAATCAGCGCCATCGGCCGGCGCCGTGACCCGCTGGGCGCCTCATTCAGCTGTCGCGAGCGCGTGTGCAGCACGTGTGCGGCCGATCGGGCGGCCCGCGGCGCCGCGTGACTCACCGCCGCCCGGCCGGCACACGACCCGACCCGCCCCGGCCCGGCGCCGACCGCCACTCCACGCCCTCCTGATGCGCTCGACGCTCTCGTAGTCCCCCGCCCGAGTCTGCTGTGCGCCCTGTCCCCCCTGCTCTTACTGTCAGCTTTGTCGTTGTCTCCACGCCAGCTCACCTGTGCTGTTCTTCGTCCCAGCTCCTTCCGGTGGCGCCGCGCTGTCTCATCCCCGTGTTCTCTCTAATTGTCCTCTGCTATATCCTGTCACTCTCCGCTCTATCTTTGCGTCGAGCCGATGGTTTGTCCGCGGTTTGAGTTCATGGTTCTGGAGGCCCGGCCATCGGCCAGCGGGTCTGTCCATCTGGTGTAGTTCCGTCCACATGCCTGGGTCCGTCCTACCGCCCGAAGCCCGTTCAACTGTGTCTAAGAGTTCCGTCCACCTGACGGGCTTTGTCCACGCGACTGTGAGATTCGTCGAGCTGTCTTAGGTCCGTCCAACCGTCCGTCCATCTGTTGGAATCCCTTCGAACTGGCCGAGGCCGGCCACTTGTCGACGGCCCGTCTCGATGTTGAAGTCTTAGGCCGCACCGGTGGCCGCTGCTCGCGCCAGGCCACGCCGCCCCCCCCCCCTCCCGCCGCACCCACGCTGCATACAGAGCACGAACACCGCACGCTGCACCGCACCGCACGGTATTGCACGGCACGGACGCCGCATGGCCTGCACTGCATGTCGTCATCTAGCCGCCGGCTGTCGCTGGCTGTGCGCCTAAAAACCGGCCGGTAGAGGCACGCCGTAGGGTTCTGTGCGCTACGCGCTTTGTGAAGAATCAGGGCTGAATTCGCCACGTTTGGAGTGCAGTGTACACAGGATTGATGAGTATGATGTAACAGCGGAGGCGAGACGAGCATGCCCCTGACCTCCCAACCGTGACGCCGAGTCCAGTTGGGCTCTCCGTATCGCGAAGATGTCGCACGTGTGGCGCGCCCGACAGACGGTCCTCCGCCATACGGAGCACCCGTACCGCCGAAGAGCGCCCGAGCGGCGCCCCACGCGCACCCCGACCGGCCGGCGGGCCCCTCCCCTATCCAGGTCCGCCCTAATTAGTCTGGTTTATGCATAACCGGCGCCAGCGATAAATGTCCGTCGTGTTTATGGCCGATTTCGAAACTTGCCGCGCGCTATTTGGGCGAAACGGCTCGCCACTCTTTGCGCGGCCATACGCTGCTCTAATTGATAGTGTACCCGACTATTTATGGTCGCGGCGCCCGCGCAGCGGCCGGCTACCGCGCCGTGCAGCGTCGCTGCCGTCGATTGGTATTGAAATCACCCACTCCGTATTCACGTGCAGCGCCAGCTTTGATTAAGCACGGGATTTATGTGTCACTCGGCCGGCGCTGGCCGCTGCCAACCGGTGCTTACGCGGCGCTTCACGTCGGCGGCGGCGCCTGCCGACCTGCGCACCGACGGGAGGGGGCGGGCGCCGGGCGGAGCGCTGACCGGCGCGTGGC